TTACCATCTGTTTTAATAGCTTTCACGCTTTTTTGGTTTCCATTTTGCCAAGAGCGACCTATGGTCCCATTTTGAAATATCCAAGTTTCATCGAGGAAGACAAACTGGTATAAGGCCTCAACCTTGGCTTGATTGTATTGCCTTAGAAATTCCACCCTTTTCAAAGCTATACTTGGTAGTTCCATGAGCCCTCGTCGCGGATTGTCCTTAAGCCACTTAAATCCAATATCTCTAAGCAACCGCCTTAAAGACGTGGCACTACCATCAAATAATGCCCTATCTCTTAATCGAGACCATAAAGTTTGTATCGTAACTTGTTCTTCTGAAACCATGTGTAATATGACATTATAATTTAGTTAACAAATTAATGCAAATTTCTGATAAGTTATTATAATAAGATCTTACTTTTGTGATACATATTATAGATCTCTTCTCGAATGGCACTTGTATCCAATGTCGCTGTGTTGGTTACACGTTTAATATAACTCCGCTTTTTCTTGGGCGATTTTAAATTTGCATCACTTTTCACACCCTCGGAAATACGACTAACTGTCCTTAAACTAATTTTTAAAGCAGCAGCAACACGCTACAAAAAATGAAATAAAATTTCACTATTATTAATATACATTACATATAATTATTAGTAACCTACCTCTTGAACGGCATTTAAAGGCAACAAAGGCCCGTTGTTGTCCCTTTCTTGCTCAAAGTAGTGCATTAACGAGGCCACGAGTTCCTTACACCGACTATTTAACTGTTTGGGCATCTTTATATACCAAAATTGCCTTTATCTACTCGTAAAATGAATAATTTTGTTTTGAAACAAACAGTTGTTGATTTACAGTATGCGGGGCCAAAGGATTTATAAAGATTTGAAATGCCACAAATTGATTCAGTGTCAAAATTAATACAAATGTCAGTTCCCAGTTTAAATAAGTTTCAAGGTGACAATGTGTCAACGCTGCGAAATCGGTTTAGTGCGTTTACATGTCGATAAGTGATTGGAGCGTTTGCAAAACATTTTATTTCGCATAATGCGTCTAAATTTATCAGAAAGCAACTTATGTGATATTTTAATAACAATGTTTATATGACTATTAACCATAATAAGAGAGTAATGACCATTTTACAATTTATATATCACATTAATATGAAACTGCAATAGAGCAATTGTTTGTGATAGAAACCTAGGCATTAGGTCGGGGAATTTTTATCGTGATGACGTGCACGCCACTTTGTTTGGCGTTGACTATATACTTTTTATTTTAATCTTACTACATTGAAACATTTTATGTTTCCTATTTCATTGTGTACTATTGGGGTTAAGTGACAGAAAAGCCCTATGCTAAACTTCGCCCATAACAAAGACGTTTAATATTATTACTATAATTTCAGAATTTCAAAAGGCAAGAAAATATTTGTTATACTAGTACTAACGGTATTTCTGCTAAGTAATACCGAAACGTCAATAGACTCTTGTGAACGGGATCATTGCAGACTACTCGGCAACACAATCACCAGATCTCCTCTATTATCAGTCAGCGCATTTTCTTAATTACAACCCTGTTTATTGGCTCACTATGTTCTTTGATCTTTACCATACGCTCACAAGACAAATGGTAGGTGATATACGATACTAATGGATCTCTTGGATTGTTTATTGATATGCCAGTAGGGTGATCGCTATTTAAATGTTATTTGAGATTGTTTTTATTTAGATAGATGCTATATAGAGCAGGCGTAATGAGAATTCACTTACTGGGAGTGGGAGTAATGGGTATGAGTTTAGTTTGTTTTTTACCAGGTTATATCCAGTAATGAGAAATGGGACATTTTTCGTCTAGATTAAATTGTGTTTGTAATAGTTGAAATATGATTGTCTACATCATTAGGATTATGCTTTTGACCCATGTTTTTTTTAGCTCGCGTACTGACAAGCTAACAAAGGTTCACGTCACTGAACAGTTTTGAAATATGACAATATTCTTCTTTTATATATATACTAAGTGACATATAAATCCGAACACCCAGTTTAAATGGTTTTATTTTAATAAAAGTTGGTGAATGTATTTATCTTACTGTAAATAACAAGTGAAAAAATTTTCAGCCTTATCAGTTGGACATTCCGGTTTTTATACTGCTTTTTTTTTAATTCACTAACGCTCTAAAAATGAATATTTCAGCCGCAGTAAAGAATCAACGTTGGCGGATTTTGGTTCTTGACATCCTTTACGATCGGTTACGATGCCTAGAGTACGGAGACCTGTACGATTTCGTCAACTTAGTGAGTTTGATAGGGGCCGTATAGTGGGACTTCGGGAAGCTGGACTTTCGTTTCCGGCAATTGCAGTTAGAGTGCAAAGAAGTGTAGACACTGTGGTTAGGTGTTGTCAGGCATGGCTTCGAGAAGGCCGTACGCAAAGAGCAAGGGGCACTGGACGCCGCCGTGGAACAACAGACCGTGAAAATCGCCGCCTAAGATTATTGGCCTTAAGGGACCGTTTCTCCACTACCAGGTCCATTGCAAATGAATGGTTTGCAGAACACGGAAGACCTATTGGCATGCGAAATGTTTACCGACGAATGAGAAGTGTTGGCTTGTTTTCATACCGGCCACACTGGGTCCTCCCTTTAACTCGAGAACACCGACGCAATCGCCTTGAGTGGTGCAGACAACGGTCACTCTGGGATCAGGAATGGAACAGTATTGTCTTTAGTGACGAGTCTCGATTTTGTTTAGGCATGCACGATGGTCGTGCCAGGGTTAGAAGGCGACGTGGTGAAAGGAGGAATCCACAGTTTTTTGTTGAAAGACATGGTAATCACACTGTTGGAGTTATGGTTTGGGGTGCTGTAGCTTATGGTTCCAGGTCACCTTTAATCTTCATCAGACGTAACATGAACGCGCAGCGTTATATCGACGAAGTTCTAGAACCCCATCTTTTACCCTATCTTGACACCCTGGCAGATCCAACTTTCCAACAGGATAATGCCCGACCACATGTTGCAAGAGTCACAATAGACTTCTTTCAACATAATGATGTCACATTGTTACCATGGCCACCAAGATCTCCCGACTTATTCCCAATTGAGCACGTGTGGGATATGATGGGTAGGGGATTGCTCAATTTGCAACGTCCTCCTCAGACTCTAGAAGCACTTCGAGAGGAGTTGGTGGTTGCCTGGAATGAGATACCACAGGAGGACATTGACCACCTGATCAGAAGCATGCCTAGGCGCGTTGGAGAATGCGTAGCACATCAGGGTGCATCCACACATTATTAAAGGTCAAAGGGCTTTAAAGCAGTGCAATCAATTTGAAATTTTTATCATTTACTTATTATGCTTCATTAAGTACTTATACAAAATTTTATTAAAATAAAACCATTTAAACTGTGTGTTCGGATTTATATGTCACTTAGTATATGTTCACTCATATCGAAGTCAAGATGATACCTAACCTCGTTACAGAACTTCGATATTTGATATGCAGGCGATGCTAGCATACAGGTATATGTTAAAGATTTGGTAGATAAAACTGCAATTCCTACTATTCAACCTCGGCCCAGTAAAGTTTAAGTTGGACAAAATGTCACTACAGTTAACACAAATGTTCGGTGTTCAAGACTGATCACTCCAAAGCGATCTAAAAGATCCTTCTTTGTATAGTTGAATGAAGTGTAAGCACCACATGCTTTTAAATACAGATATTTAAAAAATTTCGTTTGGATTTTCTCGACCAGATGGTGTAACGCTTCCTTTCCGCAAAAAGTCCAGAAAAGATGGAATGCAATGAAGATTCCAACTTTTCTGCACAATCACAGAAAGGGGGTTACCATTAGCTTCCGGTAGCTCAGTCGGTGGCATGAAGACATCTACAGGCGTGTAGCTGTGTGTCGACCATGGCATGGCTAGAGGATAGAAGAACAAACAGAACACAAAAATTTAACAGATTTTATTTAACAAAAAAAGCATTTTCATTACATTACAATTTTACAGTTTTAAAGAACAAAATAAGTTTTACATCTTTGGCGCTGCTATAAAACTATCAACTTATCTTTCGCTGGTCCATTTTGACTCGACTGAAGCGAGGATGACCAGGTGCTTGAAGTGGAGGTCCCAGTTATGAGGGGTGACCTCAGATATAGTGGCTTCATAACCAGTTGTAGGCAAAGTTGAACTTAAAGGCGATGGCGCTGCCAAGGCACATGCATGGGTGAAGTGATAGGCCAAGCAACGCAAAGTCAAAGACTAAGGCAAAGGGAAAGGGAAAGAGAAAGAGAAAGGGAAAGGGAAAGAGAGAGAGAAAGAGAAAGGGGGGTGGCCCCAATCATTTTGTCCTATACGGACACACATTCTACAAAATTCTAGCACATGGTGCTATATGACCTTGTGCTACAGAGAAGAAAATTTTTAGCTCTTGTTCGATCGGCGGCTCAAGTGAAAAGGAAGCGCGAGGAAGATCGCAGATCAGGAACTCCGCATCAAGCGCTCCAAGCGGAAAATTTTCCAAGTAAAAAAGCTAGAGATGGGATTAATGAAATGATAATCGAGAAGTGATTTAATAAATACGATCGGACGGTGAAACCGTTACAATGGTACAACCATATTCGAGTTTACTCTTAACTGAAGTGAAATACAGTACTTTTAATGATTCCGTGCTAGTAAAAGGTCTGCAATTTCTAATAATGGATCCAAGCATACGTGAGGCTGATAACTATTTGATTCAGGTGTGTCCAAAATGACAGGTCTGATGTAATGGGACACAAGACTCATCCGTAACAATAACAGTTTATTGATAGACTGGTACCGGATGCTTCCTTAACTTTAGTTCTTACCACAAACTAGTATAGCTAATATATACTAAGTGACATATAAATCCGAACACCCAGTTTAAATGGTTTTATTTTAATAAAATTTTGTATAAGTACTTAATGAAGCATAATAAGTAAATGATAAAAATTTCAAAACGATTCCACTGCTTTAAAGCCCTTTGACCTTTAATAATGTGTGGATGCACCCTGATGTGCTACGCATTCTCCAACGCGCCTAGGCATGCTTCTGATCAGGTGGTCAATGTCCTCCTGTGGTATCTCATTCCAGGCAACCACCAACTCCTCTCGAAGTGCTCCTAGAGTCTGAGGAGGACGTTGCAAATTGAGCTATCTCCTACCCATGATATCCCACACGTGCTCAATTGGGGATAAGTCGGGAGATCTTGGTGGCCATGGTAACAATGTGACATCATTATGTTGAAAGAAGTCTATTGTGACTCTTGCAACATGTGGTCGGGCATTATCTTGTTGGAAAGTTGGATCTGCCAGGGTGTCAAGATAGGGTAAAAGATGGAGTTCTAGAACTCCGTGGATATAACGCTGCGCGTTCATGTTACCTCTGATGAAGATTAAAGGTGACCTGGAACCATAAGCTATAGCATCCCAAACAATAACTCCAACAGTGTGATGAACATGTCTTTCAACAAAAAACTGTGGATTCCTCCTTTCACCACGTCGCCTTCTAACCCCGGCACGACCATCGTGCATGCCTAAACAAAATCGAAACTCGTCACTAAAGACAATACTGTTCCATTCCTGATCCCAGAGTGACCGTTGTCTGCACCACTCAAGGCGATTACGTCGGTGTTCTCGAGTTAAAGGGAGGACCCAGTGTAGCCGGTATGAAAACAAGCCAAAACTTCTCATTCGTCGGTAAACACTTCGCATGCCAATAGGCCTTCCGTGTTCTGCAAACCATTCATTTGTAATGGACCTGGTAGTGGAGAAACGGTCCCTTAAGGCCAATAATCTTAGGCGGCGATCTTCACGGTCTGTTGTTCTACGGCGGCGTACAGTGCCCCTTGCTCTTTGCGTACAGCCTTCTCGAAGCCATGCCTGACAACACCTAACCACAGTGTCTACACTTCTTTGCACTCTAACTGCAATTGCCCGAAAAGAAAGTCCAGCTTCCCGAAGTCCCACTATGCGGCCCCTATCAAACTCACTAAGTTGACGAAATCGTACAGGTCTCCGTACTCTAGGCATCGTAACCGATCGTAAAGGATGTCAAGAACCAAAATCCGCCAACGTTGATTCTTTACTGCGGCTGAAATATTCATTTTTAGAGCGTTAGTGAATTAAAAAAAAGCAGTATAAAAACCGGAATGTCCAACTGATGAGGCTGAAAAAATTTTCACTTGTTATTTACAGTAAGATAAATACATTTACCAACTTTTATTAAAATTAAAACCATTTAAACTGGGTGTTCGGATTTATATGTCACTTAGTATATTACCCAGACTCAGATTTGTCACAAGTCACGATACTCGTATATACGTATAAATCGTAAGAATTGTGCTGTAAACAAGTGATGTCAACGCGGGACAGCATTTGGAATACCAAAGGATACAAAAAAATCGCAATGCTCAGTTCCTATAGCTATAACTTATACTTATTATGCCTCTGTTGCCATGATGTGTCAGAAAGTAACACAATGGTGTTAGATTACAAAAGCAAGTGTGCAACTTCTAGGGGGGGCGCGCGCCCCCCGCGCTCCCCTCTAAATCCGCCACTGCGTTATTCCGTACTTGCAATATTGTTCTACATACTTCCGGAACAATTAAACTTATTGTGCACTTCGGTATTCTAAATAAATAACTCAAGCTGGCATAAGAGTCACCTGCAAATAATATTACTGTTAAATTTTGAAACTTAGAAGCTAAGAATACTTTGTATAATACATTTGTAACATACTTGCCAGACGCCAAGAATCTTAATTGTTACGTTAAGTCTCTCGCGTATACTGATAGTTTTCTGAACTTGGTATCTTGTTTTGATGCAAAAGGCGCTATTTTATTAGCCAATTTTTCAAAATCAGATAATTTCATTCGAAGGAAGTTTGAAAATTGTGATGGTTATTCGGCACTGAGATCACGCATTAAATGGCTGTATGCACCATGTTCTTCACGTCTTAAAATCCATTCTCGAACCCACACGTTTTTTCTTATTTCTATTTTTTAAAATATCAATAATTACAATAGCAGCACATTTTCTTTTCGATATTTTCATCGTATAGATATCCACTATACCGAGACACCGTCTAGACTAAACCGAGCTACACTTCAATGTATATTTATTACAAGTTTTTGGAATATATGCGATGTCCTACACAAGTATATGATATAAAGTTCTAACAATGTAAACAGTTAATGCTACTTATGTCAGATTAGATGAATAACATACAATAAGTGTCAGATGTGAACGTACCTTTACCCCCTTAACAATACGAGGGGGCGAATTTTTCTGTGCAGTTGCATGGGGATTTTAGTCTGCCCAATTATGAAAATTGTGAAAATTCCATTTCTTGTAAAACAAGACTCATCTATTGACAACACGTTCGCTACAAAATTGTGATTTCTTTGGTGTTTACCCAAAAACCAATTAAAAAAATTTGATCTTCGTGGGAAATCTTCAGGCGAAAGAGCTTGAACCCTCTGGACATGATATGGGTGCAATAACTGCTCTTTAACGGTCCGATGTACAATCCAGTGTGAGACACCGACTTGACGAGCAATACTTCTCATACTCCGTGTCGAATCTTCGTCAATTCGGCTTCCACTCCAACTTCAAGATGTTTTCCACGATTGTTAAAATTAGGTACTACGCTCCCTGTGTCCAGAAGTATTTGGGATACTTCTACGAATGTTCTTCTAGCTGGTAACCTTCGATCAGGAAAATGTTCTTCGTAAATGCGCTTAGCCTCTTCAGAATTGCAATGAGCCACTCCGTAAATAATAAGCATAACGTGATACTAGCGTACCGAAAGCATCTCTTTCGTATCAAAATGTACGCAACGATACAGTAATACACACCGAATAATAAAATGTGATTTCAATTCGGGTAAACATTACTTGCATTAACGTATGCAAGAAACTATCAAATAATTTTTTTTTCCGATGTAGGTATTTATTTTTTTACCTACCGACACGATGTCGGTCGTGGGCAACACGCGATGATACATGCAGTCCAGGCAGAGTACGACGTTGCCATTTGGATGAGGGTTTTTGATTGTCCGCTTTTCTTCGGAAAATTGTATTTAATAAGCAAGAAAATTATTTTGTTAAATACAGTTAATTAATAAATAGATGTATTGATACATTTTACGCTATTAGGCATATGAATTTAAATTATTAAGGTGCAAAATCAATTTATTCCATGACTATAAAGAAATAAGTTCAGCATTTTTTGCTCCGAAAGGGTTGATTGTCGGACATAGGCTATAATGAACTTTTTTGCCTAGAATAATGCAAGTAATCACCTCTTACAGTTACGAATATTATTTCCCTAACACCCTGTATATACAGGGTGTCCGCAAAGTTGGGGTTTTCCTTTTCAGAAACAACTACCCTTGAAATAACAAAGGTAATGTGTAGTGAAACGAGGGCGACCAAGTAAAAAAAAATAAAGGAAAAAGTACTCACTCTCCAGTTGACGAGAAGGGCTAAGTACGTCTCTGCCCGAAATCATACCACTCCAACAGAAAATGAAATCAGCTGATGCGCTACCGAGCAGACGCAGGCAAACAAGGAAGGCAAAATGTTGGGTAAAAAGTCTAGGTATTGCATCCCGTCCAATCGATTTGGGACAATAAATGGTCCAATGAGCATACCGTTCACCATGCCAGCCCAAACATTCACCGAAAATGTTTGTTGAAAATGTGCCCGACGGACAGCGTGCGGATTTTCTACTGACCAAACATGAGTGTTGCGGAAGTTATTCATCCCATTACGCGTGAACGTAGATTCGTCTGTCACCAATATGCACTTCAAAAAGTCCGGATTATTGTCATGTTGATGCAACAACCACTCACAAAACCGCACTCTTGCTGGAACATCGTCAGGTCGAAGGGCTTGTACACGTTGGACGTGAAACGGATACAGCCCCTCTTCACGCAGCGTTTGTCACACTTTAGTTTTTGATACTTGCACTTCTCTAGCCACGTCTCTACTCTCTAGTGCTTGTTGTTTTTTGAAACGTAATCGATTAAACGTGTTCGTTTACCTCTACACGCGTGACCGTAACCGTCGGTTGAAGATTGCATACTGACCTCTCTATCTCGGTTCCCTTAAGACATTGGTGTATATGGTACTAAGAAAAATTGCTTATGTTTTCAAGATCTACACGGCGTGTAAAGGAAAACCCCAACTTTGCGGACACCCTGTATATACAGGGTGACTTTGAAGTTGAGTCATTAATTTTCAGATAATGATTGTAGAAGGAAGATAAACCAAAATTTGTGTGTAAAAATAAAAAAAAAATAAAAAAAATGTTACCTTGTTTTGTAAAGTATCCTCCCGACAAGTATTTCAGTGCGGACCTGTATTTGATCGTGCGGTCTTGGAGCACCGGCATGCCCTCCCCTGTGAGGTCTTAAGTCACCTGATTCACGAGCCCTTTGTACTACATTAACAAAGGCACGAGGGGTTGGTTGCACTCGATTGGGAAACCGATCCGCATAAATCCGTGATGCCGCGTAAATAAGAATCATGTTCACAAGTTCAGCACTGTGCCATTTTTGATTTCGTTTGAGCCACGCAACAGACACCACTATTCACTCACGCGTTACCGACTGACACATTGACTGAATACAACTGAATAAAAGTGTAGTAAAAACATCGTGATAAGCGTTTCAAATTCTTTCGCTTTTTTGTTTCCGATGCGATGAACCGATAAGGCGGATTATATCCGTTGTTGCCAAGCACGAGCACATAATATTATTATTGAGACAGGGCGGTACTCAAACTTCTAAAGGGCTATAACTTTGTTACTTTAATTTTACCAGAAAAATGTTAAAGGAAAAAAACATTTCTTTTGATCAGATCTACTCACTGTTAAAATAAATGACTCAACTTCGAAGTCACCCTGTATATATATATATAACAACAAGTATATATATATATATATATATATATATTCATAAAGCAGCATCGCAAAAACCTTAGAAAAACCACATACGAGCGATATTGCCCTATAATTCTTTATATCGTTCACTTTTCCGCGCATAAAAATGGAACACACCTCCTAAGCCTTCTAGCAGTCCGGAAAGACACCATTTTGAAGTGACGTATTGAAAATTTGACACAGAGGCTTAACAAAAGCTCTAATGCAGTCTTTGACAATGTATGTCGGTATTCCGTCGGACCACTAGATGGCTTAGGTTTAAGCGACTCTTCGCTAAAAACAGGGATTCAGAGAGATTCACAACTACATGATTCTCGGCCTGTGTTACAAGTGAAAGGAGAATCGTTATATGCAACGTGACACAATGGATTGATTGCTCACGGGACCCAAACCCATCCTGCAAACAGTCAGCTTACGATGTTTGTTGATTGATAAAGCAAAAGTGTATCGAAATGGAATCTCGTATTTTTGATATATGAGAAATCGGTGACCCATGCGTTAGTGGGATCGCAGCGCCAGGCGCCCCTTCTTGTAGGGCTGCACTGTACGCCTGCCACCACCACCACCGCTTTGCCGGCGCGTACGGAAGCCTTTTATCAAGTCGCCTTGGCAGTGGATGCGTTGTCTCGCGCAGATTGTCGTCGAAGTAGGAACGTGCTAGCGTTCTCGAAGATACCGGAGCGGAGACGCGATCGGATTGATTATACGAAACGGAGCCGGTTTTTTTTCTGTTTGAGTGAAGTGCGACAACTCTATTTGTCGATTGACATTGGATTGCCGAAGATTTGTGCACGTCGGCAGTTTGGACTGAACAACCATGCATCATTTCTACAGGTAGGGAAAAAGTTTCGATTGTCCTAATCCTAAGGATTGTATTACCGGCAATATAACTCCGGGATTTTTTTGAACATATTGCAGGCTCTTGTTTTTTTCGAACATCAGAAGAAGCATGGCTCAAAATTTTTATTATTTACTTCTTTAAAGTCGTTTAGTGGAAGCTCACATTACCATTTAGTACAGATTACAGTTTGAAATCTAGTCTTAGTCAACATGGGGCCTTTTCACAGGTGAGGGTAAACACATGCAGCATTTCTACAGGTTGGATAAAACTTATTTTAGCCCGAATAATTATATTACCGGAAAATTGCTTTATGATTTGTGATGTTTTTCTTTTCCATAGGAAAACATGGTCTCCTTATTTGTTTGTTCATTTCGTTGCACGCACCACTCTTTACGGAAACTGTGGGGTTCCAACCAACCATGGACAAGTGTTTCATGCTTCCCGGTTACTCATCAGCATGGTCTAGGTTTGGTCTCTCATCTCTGGACAACGAACGAAAGTATCACAACTACCCTCTATCCAGGAAGTACGGTCTATCGAAATGAGACAGCGTAAAGCTCACCAGTGCGGGAGCGCATAGCTGCTGTTTCTTGGAATTGTAAAGATCTGACTTCACGTTTAATAGCCCACTCACCATGCGACCGCTAGATGGCTGACGATTCTGGATGTATAGTAGATGTGGTCTACCTGCAATTGAATAAACCAAATATGATGATTTCGTTCATCTGACCAAAAGACAACCAACCAAGGACAAATATTTCGTGCTTCTTGGTTACTCATCAGCATGGTCTAGGCTTGGTCTCTCATCTCTGGAAAAACCCCTGCTGCTACTTCTTGTGCAGCATGAATTCGCCACGGGAAGGGAGGGAGGTTTGGAGCTGCGATTAAAAAGTGAAGGCGATTGCTCTTGTCACAATTGGAGAGCGGGGGGATACGTCCGATGATTCAGGTCTGGCAAAGTAATTTTACACTAAGATACAGTAAAATACGCTTATTCCATTTTCTTAAAAAAATGATAAACTTGGGCGTCTGAGAGGGGGGGGGGGGTCACACGACCCCCTTTAAATCCGCCATTCTGTTCTCCGCACAGCAAGGAGACCGCGTTAACGCTGGTACTTTGCACTATGTACGTTGCAAATGTACCTAAATACTTCTGCACATTTGCCACATTTGATAAACAATGATTCGTGTATTCTAAAAAGCGATAATAATCACCATCACTCAAGATGTTCATTATTTCCTTCTGTTGAGTCTTCTATTGAAACCTATTTTAGTAGTACTAACAATCAGATTACTTTTTCGGGGCAAATATTGATATTTCATTTGATCACAGTTTTTTGAAAATACCCCATTATCAGGGTACTGGGGATACTTCCTGAGGAGTATGGGTCATTGTGAAGCTTACCTTATACGAGGGATGTCTTTTAAGTTTTGCATATGGAAATAAAACAACACGGTAGGTAGTTTTAAATGACTTTATTGTTTTTCGAAGTATTCTCCACGAAAATTAATACACATCTGCATGCGCTTGAACCAATTGTCGAAGCACTTATTCCACTCGTTTGCTGGCAGATCCAAAACGGTATTTTTGAATGCGTCAACTGCTTCTTCTGGCGACTGGAACCTTTGACGACGCAGTCTGTTTTTAATTTTCGGGAAAGTAAAGAAATCGTTAGGACTTAGATCGGGACTATATGGAGAATGGTCCAATAATTCCACGTTTTCTTCCGTTAAATACTGCCTTGTTTTTTGGGCTATGTGCAAGCTTGCATTGTCTTGGTAGAGGATGATTCTTCTTTCGGGGTTGATTTTTCGAAGCTCGGTGATGATTTTTGGCAAACAAATGGTGGTATACCAATTCGCAGTAACAGTTCTTTGCTCATTAAGAGGAATTGTTGCAATATGACCAGATTTTGACACAAATGTCGCGACCATCTTTCTCGAAACACTTCGAGAACGCATGAGTTTTGTTGGCTTTTCTTCACCTTGGAACAGCCAAACACACCGACTGTCGTTTATTTTGTGGTTCATAACAGTAAATTCACGATTCATCACCACTAACAATGCTGTACACATTATATGAGTTTCTGGAATTGAAACGGTCAAGCGTTTTTTGACACCAATTGACCCTGGCTGCTTTATGCTCTTCAGTCAACAGGTGGGGTATCCAACGAGAAACTAATTTTCTTACTCCTAATTCCTCATGTAAAATTTTTTGAATTGAGGTCTTTGAGATCTTCAAGGACGCCTCAATCTCGCGATATGTCTCATGTCTATCTTCAATGATGAGTTTGCGCACAGCATCGACGTTTTCCTGGGTGACTCCCGTTTTTGGTGCACCTACCCTGGGATCGTCGCTAAGATTCACCCGTCCACGTTTGAATTCTCCATACCAACGGAAAATTGTCGACTGATGTGGCGCTTCGTTGCCGAAAATAGACAGTAACTCAGCAAGGCATTCTTGTTGCGATAATTGTCTCTGAAAGTTGTAATAAATTATGGCGCGAAAATGTTCTCGGTTGAGTTCCATTTTTTTAATGACTTGGCGGCACTTAAAGATTAACTGTAGTGAGAACACTGCACGTATTGTTGTGAAACTTTGAAATTAGGTTTACTAAAGAGTGACGTTAAGATTCAGTACTAACGTTCGATCCGCGTGACCTACTATGTTTCTATATGCAAAACTTAAATCGCAGATCACGATATTTAGAATTGCAGAAATAAATTGTATTACTCTTACAACTATCTCATCTGGATATGTAAAATAAATTAAAAAGTTAAAAGTAATGAACTTCATTTTACTTCGTACTTTAAAACAGTCCAGCAAAGTATAAGAAACATCAGAAAGCCATAATTTCGCATGAACACGTTGGAGCCACTGTTTGCGCCAACGTTGGCCAACTCCTCCCAATGCGCATTGGCTTAGCGTTCAGATACTGTTGTTGGCTCAATATGTGAGTGCTACACAAGATAAAGTTGGTATATGAAACAAAATAATTGTGTCAGGTTTTTGTTTTGTTAAATGTCAAAATTGAAAAATTCACTTTTGGGCGTACATTCAAAAACTATGGAGCAATGGTATAATTGGTATACAAAAGACTTGCGCAAAATATTGAGAGATCTTTGAAATGGATCCTTATTTGTTGAACTTATTGCAGCGCTTAATTAGAATCTGAAATAATAGACGAAAGTTGAGTTGTGATTAACATCTAAAAAACAATTATAGGAACAGTTGCAGTTAACTGGACATACGTTTGTCCGGAAAATACGTATCAAAGTGAGATAATAACTTTATTTTACAATTGTCCAGGTATTTCAAAATGGTCTCCTTCAAAGTACTCCCCCTGAGACGAGATGCCCTTCTGCCAACGTCGTTTCCACTGTTGATATGATCGCTGAAAGTCTTCAATTGCGAGGCTCTTCATTTGCAGAGTCGTTTCTGCCTTAATGGCTTCCACATCCCCCAAGTGCCGCCCCCGAAGTACCATGTTGCTTTTTCGGAACAGGAAGAAGTCTCAATTGTCTAGCTCGATGTGGATGGGCGTCCTGAGAGTTGTTCATCTTTCACATCTTCTCGAAATCTTTTCAACCGCTTGTTGATAATTCGCTCCTTCAGAGAATTGCTTCCGCAAACTTGTTCCAAACACTCAAAAATCTCACAACCATTCTTGTCTAGCCTCGCAAGAAACTTGATGTTGATGCGCTGTTCTTTCTTCAGAGAGAGCTCCATGCCGACGGCAGGTAAAAAAGGGTTACTTTCAACATGCACACGTAAATCCTACTTACTCGCAGAGCGCTCCGGCTCCAACTGAGCATAGAGGGGATGGCATAGAGAGAGGAAACCACCGGGCTACCCCTCCACAACGACTTGACACAAGGAACCGAATTTTTTATACGTATTTTCAGGACAAACCTCGTACATATAGGTCTGATTAGAAAGGTTTATCTCTTATGTTTTTTGAATATATGCGGAACAGTGATTTCCTTGATGTTTAATATTTTCCGCTTGACGTTGCTCAGAAATAGTGTGGAAAATACACCCCCCGCAAGTGTTAGGTATACGATTTTTTCCAACAGCGTGCGGAAAGTACTCACTTTCAACACGCATCTGCATGCAGAAAGAGTAGCACTTGTGCGGAAAAGTTATGCGTGCGGAAAAGTGATACTTATAACGCGTGGCAATCCCTTAACAATATTGTATTCATGTTGAAGTGCCAGATTTAGTTGCGGACGCAAAATTACACCCTCTATCTCTTGACGTTATACTGATCTCTTTACCAATTCTCATAAACAAAAAATATTCTAATGACTCTTGTCATTAGAATAAGTCCCACTAAGCTTCTGCATTTCTCGCTGATAAAACCCAAGTATAACAAAGCTGCATTAATTTCAAGTACCAGCCACTACTGAATCCACTCAACTTCCCTTGCTATTTCTCGCTAATATGCATATTAATAGAATAAGCAGTCGAATTTACATAGAACGGCATCAGAGCGGAAATATTGTCATAAATCTAGACGCCAACGTACTGCGATTTCTCAATTTAATCCCGCTCTATTTACGCCTGAACAAAAACAAAGTAAATATCAAGTTGTGGGAGGCTTTCCTGTTTAAGAAGATTCAATTGGTCCTTGAATTATAAAGAACTTGTACGTCCTCAGTATCGTTATTGGAATATATAATTTTCCGCAATGACAAACTTGCATTTTCACTTCCCACGCTAATCGGCTAATTGCAATAAAAAAACATCTGAAAATGAGATTTGGGTTTTACCTGCCATGTACTTCACAAAAACATGGCCTTCGGTCTGTCTGTACTTTAATCCCTGACTTCGCTAAAACTTATATATATATATATATATATATATATATATCTTGAGACGTGGTCATTGTCGTCTAGACCAGTTAGGTGAAAAATTAAAGCTTCCGCCTTTTGTTGGGTACTTCGACAAAATTTAAGCAAAGAGGACTCTTTATACTTTTTTTATTCTCTCTAGCTTTCAATGGACTTTGCCATCATCATCAGGAGCTGCAATTACATTGATAACAGTAGCAACAATAGTGTAAAATGAATTTAAATTGACTTAACTTACAGTAGTATGTGAGGATGTTGCTAATTGTTGTTTACGTTCAGGATGAAGGAAACACTCAGTAACATGGTGAAAGCTGGATAGATGGTACAATGGTCTAAATTATATAAAATACACACAAATGTGTGACAAGAACAAGTTAAAAACAGATTAAAAATTTTTTAGAACATGAAAGCATTACATCGTGAAGCCACTTGATGATTGCACAAAATGGTAGTCATGGAATAATGAGTGAGATGAACCCTTTGACAGAAGGCCGAAACTTGTCAATGTCTGTGTAGAAAGATGGAACGAATTGTCGGCGGTGTGCCACGTTGCCAAATCACTTCAGATGATGTGATTTTCAGAATGTTATGTAAGAAATTGTTAAACCGACCAGATGCAGTTGAATTAACTATATTTTAATTAATGGGAAATTAAATTAACAATTATTATTAAATCGTGAGGAGAAAATTATTAGAATTTGAGTGGAATGAAGTTTATTGGTGGAATCGACCAAGAAACAGATTCCATTTATGGTTGTGAAGAGTCAAAATTTGGGGAGATATGTAAGTTCTCCAATTTTTCGCAGTTTAGCAAATATGAGTAAATGACACTCAGTTGCTTAACATCTGTCTTTTTGTTGATACAGTTGTTATTCATGAAAATGTGGGACATTTCCAGGAATAAACATTTGGATAGGTGTTTTTCTTTATCAAGAACTTTGATACTTGTGTAATTCATAGAGTGCCCTGTTGTGTTAACATGAGATGCTAGAGCGCATCTTTCAGGATGAAGCCTAGAATCACTTTTCTGTGATGTAATCCTTCCTTTAAGAGATCTGGTCTGACCTATGTATATTTGGTTGCAGTTGTTGCAATTGATGGAGTAGACTGTGTCGGTTAAGCCAAGCAGCGGGACTCTGTCTTTCATTTTTGAAAAAATGCAGTTTATAGTGAGGACGGATTTGCAAGCAATTCGAAAGTTCAAAGGACTGCATAATCTGATCAGCTTAGGGGTCGGCTCCTTGATATAGGGTAGGACAGCAAAACCAGGTCTGGAGTTTGGGTTGGTGCTTGTACTGTTTGAATTGATGTTATTGTTGGAAATTCTATCAGTTCTGTTATTAGGGGTTGTGCGACTATTACTTGTATCATTAGAGTTTGGCAAAATATTGGAAGGTGAACTAAATAAGATCTTGTTAATCAGACACTTCGGATAACCATTATTGATCAACAGTTTTGATAGTTTACGTAAATTTGAGGTGTGGAAAGTATTGTCTGAGATGCTGATTACCCTTGTTTTCATCTGTTTCACCAAGTTGATTAGGGATTAAAAACGTTTAAAATTTGATGCTTTAACAGAAAAAAATATAATATACAGGGGTTTCCATTTAAAAAAATGGTACTTTACTGAAAAAAATCAAAATAACGACTCTCAATTGTTTTTTTTTATTTCTCATTTTTACCAGCGTTAAAAATGCTACTAGTTTGCTAATTTAAACAACTTTGTATTTTTACTAATAACAAAGTTACCAATGGTGGACACTTAATTTGGATAACCCTGTATAGTTTATGATGAAAATGGTGACTTATAGTTACCCCCTTCATCAGACAGAAAACGCAGTAGAATACTCAGGACTGTGAACCTGCATTTTATGAATCGCAATTTGACGAAAATGGGTTTCACCAACATGCTTTCGTGAAACTTTAGTTTCACGTATCAAGTATAATTTTGAATTGAAGGATTTCCCTTTAGATTTCAAAATGAAAACAAAGAAGTTTGGGAAGTACTGAGACAAGCTACTTGATTCAGTTTTTTCTAATGAGGCCTTTGCTAAGTTAAATGGGAAACTAGCTGGTTCTACCAGGCTGTAGTGAAAAAGCGTTAT